GGTGAGTCTCAACATCAAACAGGATGTGACATGTGCTGTAGGCCCCGAGTGGCCGGGCTGCCAGAGCCCCATTGTGCCACACGCCGACAGCTGACTGATGCATATCCTCAGTGACAATACAAGCAAACCAAAACGGATTAGACTCTTATAGTCAGAGGCTTACGCTGCTAGAAGTGATGCTAGTTCACTGAAGCAGAAATGTTCTCCCACTTTTCCAGTGAATTATCAGGATACCAAGTTAAACTTAAATGACCAAACAATATGGTGTTGTTGTTGTTTTCTGCTACACCCCAATGTGTTAGAATGTGTAAAACAAAGTTAAAGGAATAGCTCAACATCTTAGAAAAATAATCTTAGCCGACTGAATTTAGTCCCAATACTTTCATATTTGTCCGTTCCAAATGTCAGTTAGCTTATAGCTTAGCATTAACACTGGACGCAGGGGGAAACGGCTAGCTTGTCTCAGTCCAAACTAAAGTGATGAAAAGACTCCAGGAGGTTACTGTGTCTGAAGCACTGAGTATTGAAAACAGTCAAGTACCAAAAAGCTTGCATCAAATATCTGGTACGGTTTGTTATCTTGTTCTTATAGGTTCTTTGTTTTAAATTAAATTGTTGCAGATTTTGAACTATTTCATTAAGACAAAGTTCCTGAACGACTGCTTGGTGTTAGACTTTGAATTGGAGATTTTTGTTTATTTAGGAAAAGCATGTTGGAATTCCTCAAAGTTTGGTATCAGCACTGATACTCGGGGATGGACACCCGGCCTTAGCCTTTCTGTGGGACACAAATGTGATGTCCAGAGGTTTGTCCACACTTGCTGTTATCTTGCCACTTGTTACAGAAAGTGTGCCCAGTAAAGTACGTGATTAACTGTGTTGGACACAGAAGGTCAACAGAGTCACAAAAACGCAAATGTCTCTAACCTTGGGTTGTCGTAAAAAGCGGTAACTAGGAGACCCACTCCCACCCTTTCTGTATACAGGTTCAGTTTAATGAGTGAAAGGTTAAAGCCGGTGAGCTGCACCCTGGTGATTGTGGAGTGCTGTGAGAGGAGATAGCAGTGACCTTTCATCAATGTCAACCACTAATGGTTGTTTTCCACCGTGCTGATTTAAACTGCCAACCAACGCTGAACCTCAACTTCATCAAGTCCATGAAAACTCTACTGAAAGAGAGTTTGACTGATTTGTGCTATTATAGATCTCTGTTTCATCATGATTTCATCATTGAGCATCATGAAATCATCCTACTGTACGGTACTGTAAAAGACAAGCAAGGACTTAGCAATCTTTGACTGGGAAGTCCATCTCCACGTTATCATAAATCTTCCTGGGTGAGTACGCAGGCAGATAAGGACTGCACAGCTCCTTGGTGACTATACATTCATTTGAACGCTAAGATGGATGCTCTCAGGGGCATAAACACAGATAACCTGTATTGTCCACCAGTCTGACCCTCAGGATGACAACATCCGAGACGGTTAAACATTAATTCTAAACCAAAATAGATGAGATTTTGTTGGAATTACTGCAGTATATGGGGCACGATGAGTTAGGTCGTTCAGCACCAAGGCACAGAATAAACAGGGAATCAAACTCTATTGTGCCTGAATGTGTTTCTGCTCTGTTGAATTAACTCGGCGAAGCAGCATAACCCACTGTGCCAACATCCTGATGTTACCAAACAGCAAACAAGGATCTTGTTGCTTTGATTGTACCACTATTGCTTTATTGTACAGTACATCGCCCATGGGCAATAAACACTCCCGCCCATGCATTGACAGTTGTGGTTAACTCGTGTGCCAGACAGCCCTTTACACCCCACACCCCCACAGCTCTAGTGTGTGTGTGCACCAGTGTGGTTAACATCTACCTGAAATAACCCCGGCACACACGCCTGGCTCTAGTTTCTAGAACAGCAACTAGTGTGCTCTGTTTTTTTTTTTGCAAACCATGCAATTAACCTCTACGCTCAAACTTGCGAAGTGAAAGTTATTGTAAATCTTTAGTGTCTTTAGTTTTGGAAGATGTATTCAGATTCTTCTCTTAAGAAAAAGTAGTATTATCACACAATGGGGAAAAGCATTCTATTAGAAAAGTCCCGCAGTACAATTGTTTTCTTTAAGGAATATCTCTGGTGGAAAGATGAGAAGATTGAGATCACTCTCTAATCTGTTTATTAAATGTGAGACAACAACCAGCAGCTGGTTTGCTTAGCTTAGCACAAAGACTGGAGACAGGGGGGAGTAGTAATTAAATCATCCCACCACCACCTCTAAAGCTAATAAGCAATGACTTTATATTACGTTTGTTTAATCTGTTGTGCAAAGTGTAAATCACATCGTGTGTTCTTGGCCGGGAGCAGTGACTTCCTGGTGTCGCTGTCATCCATATTTTTACAATAATATATCAAATGACAATGTGAAAACACTGTGAAAGGAGTTGCTAGTAGCAATGAACCGCAGAGTGTTTGCCTCTCAACTGAATCTGCAGCTCCACTCGAGTTTCAGATGGTTGTTCAGCTGTCTGGCCCACAACTTCACCATTTCGGTTCACTCTCACCGCTCTCATACTGTCGTTTTCGGCTGCAGCAGACTTCTATTTTCAGTGGAAAAGTTCTAAAAACCCACTGCACGCTACCTGCTCAGCAGCAAATAGCAGTCAGACACAGTTAGCGACCAGCAAGTGGAGCATTTAGCAGCTGAAGAGCTAGAATTTTCCCTCAGGAGATGGTGGAAATCAAAAGAAGAGAGGAGAGGAGATAAAAGAACATTTATTAGAAATATTGTTGATAATGTTACCACAGAGAGCGCAGGGTACATTGAGGAATGACACAGAGGCAGGTCAGGTAACGAGAAGTGACACAGAGACTCACATTTTCATCATTGCAGCATTGGATGTTTCTGGATGGAGGCCGACACCGAGTGTCTTATTGGAAACTAGCTCAGCTTTCTAAGATGCATCATTTAATTGATTCTTAGAAACCTGTGACTTCACAGTGTGCATGTGCTTGCACCTGGACTGAAGCTTGACCAGTTAATATACAGATAAATTATATTATTTTCATTGGAATATTTATACAAACATTAGAATATAAGTCTCCTAAATGTGAATGTGGGCTTTTTGTTTTATGAGAAAAAAGCTAATTCAGTTATTTTTTCACTCTTTTTCTACATTTACTTTTGCACTTTGTTGAGTCTATATTATTTTGAACACTGCTAAGTCTATGTATTTGTTGTACTCTTATTCTAAAGTTATCTGTGCATTATCTTGTATAGAGTATAGGGTGCATCTTCCACTGTTTTAAGATTGTATCCACAAAAACACAAAGCCAGGAGAAGTCTGTTGAACAGTCAAGATTTGTGTGAAACATCATCAGCTGCTTCGACACAAACGTGAGAACTGACATTTTGTCTTAGCTGCACATGTCGACATTGTGCAGCTACGGCTGTGGCAACTCAGTGTAATTAAGGAAGTTCCATAGAGGAACTAGAGCTCAGATACTTGGTATGCGATATACCACAATCACAACCACATCCCCTCAAGTAAAATGGTTGACACATAAAAAGTCAGCTGAAGAGAAGGAAAGCAGAAAGACAGAGAGGGTCCAAAATAGAAAAGGCCTAACAACTAAAATGACCAGTCACAGCAGCTTGGGGGGATCTGTTAATGCATGAAAGATGTCGTTTTAGACACCCCACCCCCACTACATTAGAGGAGGACAGGCAGATTGGTCTGACAGAAATAAATTGCCGTCTTTGTCTCCAGCGGCAATACACACACACACACACACACACACACACACACACACACACACACACAGTCATAAACCTTCTATCGCAGACAAACACAGAAAAAAAACCTCCGATAGCTGCTGAAGCTTGTGGTGAGGAAATGTAAATATGAACAGCACCCCTCGCATGTAGGCAGGAAATCACCGAGTCATTTATGGCATTAAAGAAACCTGCAGGTCCGCATGCCAAACCAAACACTACATTATGATCTGCAGCAAGCGATTAAAGCTCAGGGCTCGACTGGTGACTGGCATATGTAACCATTATTTTGGTTATTTTGCTATTGTCCTGTGTGATCTCTCAGTCGTGCAGTAGTCTTGAGAGTCATTGTAAGACAAGGTGTCCCTGGGCACAGATACAGAAAAGCCCTCACCCCTCCTATTTGGCAGCAAGGATGGAGGGAAAAAATAATCAACCTCCCAGCACCTCTAGCTCTCTAATTAACACATTATATCTCGTTTATTTAATCTGCACATAAACAAAAAAACATCAATTTATGGTACTACTGTTTGTTTCCCCCACTTCCTGTATCCATGTCTCCTTGCTGCAGCAGTTATTAAACCAATAGAACAGTCTCATGATCAACTCTCGGCAAGAAAGCAAAACACACAAAAGCACATTTCCCAAAATGTCGAACTGTTCCTTTAGAAAGGACCCAGATATAGATCGGGTGCAACAAACACGATCGGAACATCCCTGCTTTTGACTGAAGTGGACGTTGGAACGTGGTTGTCAGAATCAGAATTAGCAATAGAAAGATATTTTTTACTTTCTTGTTCTGTAATAACATACAGTGTCCCGCTTTTTAAATAAAACTATTTTGATTCCGTACATCTTTAAAGCTTTGTTAACTCGTACAAATAGTCTTACCGGGACTTAATCTGATGGCTAAAGCCTAAAAGGAGTAAAACTCATTCTAAAACTCTCCAGAGCCCAAACATGTCTGATGTCGTTCTTATAGTATAAACTACACAAGAGTGCCAAATCCACCATTACGAGCTTGAGTCTTTATTAGATTCTGCAAGACTCCTTCCAAGACTCTGAGCCACAAATTCTTCTCCTGGACAGGAAGCTGCCAGTTGTTCTGGTAACACGACCCCACAGTCAGCAGCAGCATGGGAACATCCAAACAGATGTTAGTGAAGGCAGGGCTTCACGGTTCTCTGGAGAATAACTAACAAACACAGTGGCAGACAAGAATACTTCTATAAAAACATCTTTTATTCACTTAACTTATTTAAAATGGTGCAGAATATATATATAAATATTAGGTTAGGGCAAGATTCAACATGAAATGTTACATTTCTACAGCATGAAACAACATCACCGTCGATGATTTACAGAGTAGTGGTGATCTAAACTCATCATTTATCTTTTCCCTGACACACAGTATTGCAGCTTGATTTCAATAATACACACCAACAGGACAGACTGAATGACGAGATGTTAAGGAATGCATATTGCATGAACCCTGACAAACGCATGACACCAATGTAAACAGCTCCTCTCTTCTCCGACGCCTCAATGGCCACACAGCTTCATGTCTCCTTCACGTCCCTCTGAAAAGTGAAAAGGAAACATTCTTCACTGACACGCCAACGCTATGATAAATGTAAATATCTATTCTATGCTGATTTCAAGATTAAGGAACATGAAATGTGTTTTCTCGATCAGCGGTGAGTACTTCCCCTTTTCTTGTTGCTTATTCTTCAGTGTGCAAAGACCTTTAAACTCTTAACAAATAACAACTAAGTATGTTATTTTCTGATTAACTACTAATGTAGTGGCATCTAGTAAATGATTAGCGACTGTTGTCCTGAGCCAATACTAAGGCTCAGTATCGGGGCCGATCAGGGCATTTAATGGATCTGTATTGGCTAAAATAGAGCGGATTAAAATGTGATCTTTTCTTTTCTGTACTCTGCTGTGTTTTGTCAGCATCGGTCTGATATTGCTGCAGCGCTCTTCTTCTGTATCACAGCTGGTCTCTACACCGCAAACATTTCACTGCTTATGCAAGTAAAAAATTATAAAATTGATGAAGTCAATTAGTCTCTTGATTCATCGTTTAGTCTCAGATAAAAGTGATAAATACCCATAATAATGTCCCAGAGCACAAGGTGTCATTGACTTTGAGACGAGGGAACCGAAGGGGGTAAAAATGCTGACTCATTTACAGGTTTTAGGACTCATTCCTGCAGCACTCTTTTGATTAACGGACTAATCATTGTACCTCAGACAGGTGTGGGGCTGTTACCTGGAGTGTGAGCATGCGTCCGGTCTGTGAAAGCCCTTTGGAGCTCCATAAAGAAGGATCCTCCTGCATGGCTAACGTCTGGTTAACAAACCTCAGCATCCCCGTGAGTGAACTCATGTCCACCTCCTCCTCCTCCTCCTCCTCGTCATCCTCCTCCTGACCCA